AAGAAATGGGCAAAGAAAGCGGCGGCGGCCTGGAAACTGAAAGGGTAGTGGAAGCGATCTCCATGGCTATGGGGAGTATTGAGGGTATTGGGGGATTTCCTGTTGTTTTGCTTAGGTTTTTGTTCTGTGGCGCGATTGGATTGAAGAAGATGATAACAAATTGGAACGATGTGGCTGCTGGCTGGTATGATTCTTCTATTTCTTTCCCCATTATTCAACTACTCTCTTTCAGTATTTACTATTTTCTTTTTGTTTTCCCATGTTTTAAATATTTCATTATGGTCATTCTATTCTATTAATTTATTACTCACCAAACCAACGAAAAAAAATGTTATTACTCACGTGGTTTTAATTCAATGTTGGTTACCAAAGGTAAGATAGCCTAACGGTAAAGCTGCCGCAACAGTGAAGGCTTGGGAGTTGCAGATCCCAGGTTCGAATCCAAGCGAGGCCCGTTGGTGTTCCCGGAGGTACAAGGCTGCTGGGGGCGAAGCCCCGTTGGCGTCAAATTAAATGCAGGTGGCCCCCAGGTTTAGTAGGACCCGCTGTCACAAAGTGGCACGTGGGGCTGAGGTTTCTGGGTATCAAAAAAAAAAAAAAAAAAAAAAAAAAAAAAAAAATTCAATGTTGGTTTGTGAAAGAGTAAGAGCAGTCATACACTCCTATTCCTATTGCAAAATTCAATTGCAAAAGTCAATGGTAGAGTATTTTGTAGTAAAATTTTGATTCAGTTAGGATTAATAGTATAAATTGTTCCTCTACTATTTTTTATATCAAACTTGTCCCTTTACTATATTAACTTTCTCAAACTTATCCTTCTGTCACATCCAGCTCTTCACATCACCGAAAACGTCTCAACTCTAAATTTTTATTTTTATTTTATGAATAAGCAGTTTTTATTCCATCAAAAAGTACTGTCAAGACATATAGACATCAGCCAGCTACAAGTACGGCCACACTACTTCTTATCAAGGCAGAGAAACAACGCTACATCTAGGATTACATGAACCAAAGTTTTTTCCTCTCTATTGCTAAGTTTAACTTCAGATTTCCCACCATCAGGTCCTCCATTGTAGTCCTCAACTTTGCAATTAAGTCTGTTACAACAACCGACTTCTTCCTATACACCCTACAACATCTCTCCCGCCAGATCTCACTGATCAACAGATTCCAAAGTACCCTTCCCACACAGCATCCCTGCAACTTCTCTACTGCCTCCTGCAACCTAGCCTCCCATCCTTCTCGAGGATGGTATCCCCAGTTTGCTGGAAATACAGTTCTAATCACCTCCTGCACATAAGAGCACTCAAAATAGATGTGATCCCTGGACTCTTCATGCCCCAAACACAACATACAATTGTTTACTACCTCTGGCTACCACTTTTGTATCTTATCGAAAGTGGTTATTCTATTAAGAGTGATAAGCCAAGTAATCAAGGAGTTTTTAGGAATGAGGATTGGCCTCCAGATCAACTTTGATCAGACCTTCTCTTCTTGCTTAGGCCTGAACTGCTCTCATACAACCTTTATACTATATTTAACCATCAGCTTTCCATCCCAGCAAACCCCAGCCCTTGTCTTAACTAGACGCCCCTGAACTTGACTTCTTAATTTCATAACTTTATTCCACAACGAAGCTCCTGGAGTACTCATTTCCCAAATGCTAACATTCCTCAACATGTATTCCTTCAGCCAGGCTATCCACATGGTTTCCTGATCAGACAAGACATTCCAAAGATGCCTTACGAGGCAGGCCTTATTCCAACTGTGCAGATCCTTGAACCCTAACCCTCCCTCCTTTTTTGGCAAGGCCACTATTTTCCACGTTACCTTAACTTTCCCTGTTTCTGATCCCCATAGAAAAGCATAACACCTCTTCTCAATCTCATTGATTACCTTCTTGGGCAAATGGAAACCATCATCAAGAATTGTGCTATGCTGGCTAACACTTAAAGCACTAATTGAAACTTTCCTACATAAGAAAGGGTCAGAGCTTGCCAACTAGTGATTCTTTTCAAGATTCTATCTATTAGATCCTTACAGTCACCAACCTTCAGTTTTCCTGATATCAACGGAACTCCAAGATATCTGACAAGTAGAATGCCTTCTTGAAACCCTGAATGATTTATTAGTTCTGTTTTCAGCTCCTTGTCTACCCCAGCACAAAAAATCTCACTTTTCTGTGGATTGCACTTAAGCCCCGAGATCCAGTGGAAATGTCTGAGTACTTCAGCTACTCCCCTCACCCCTTCCACTGAACCCTTCGTAAAAATCAGGAGATCATCTGCAAAACACAAATGAGACAACCCTATTCTCTGGCAAAGAGGGTGGAAATGCAGTATCTTAATTTCAGTAGCTCTGGTCAACATGCAACTGAGTACTTCCATTGATATTACAAACAGATAGGGAGATAAGGGATCCCCTTGTCTTAGCCCTTTCTTTGCTCGGAAATAACCAGTTAACCCCCCATTTACACAGATAGTGAAAGTAGCAGAGTCCAGACAGGTTTTGATCCAACTAATAAACTGTAATGGAAATCCCATAGCCTCTAATGTAGTGAACAAAAATTCCCAATCAACACTATCGAAAGCCTTCATTATGTCCACTTTTATGGCACATCTAGGTGAAATATTCTTCCTTCTATACCCTTTCACCAGTTCATGAGCAAGAATGATGTTGTCACTTTTTATCCTGCCCTTAATGAAAGCTGACTGGTTTTTGTTAATAACTAGAGGTAGTACTTCTCTAAGCCTATTGGCTAACACTTTGGACACACACTTGTAGAGAAAATTACAACAGGAGATAGGCCTATATTACTTAAGAGAATATGCATTTAGGACTTTAGGGATTAAGGTCAGGATCGTACCATTTACTTCTTTCAGCAATTTACCCGAAGTAAAGAAGTCTTTTACAGCTTCTGTGAGCAGCTCACCAACTAGTGTCCAATTGTGTTGGAAGAACTTCGTTGTAAACCTGTCAGGCCTAGGGGCTTTATCCCTTGGCATACCAAAAATTACATCCTTGAATTCTTGACCATGTTAATACGTTAATTCCGTACCTCCACATCTGCCACCCCCAACAATTTCTTATAGAACTTTATAACTCCTCCCCCAATTTCCTCAACATCCGTTATTGTCTGCCCTTCCTCAGTGACCAACTGCCTAATACCGTTCTTGTTATTTCTTACTTTCACAGACTTGTGGAAGAACCTTGAATTCATGTCCCCTTCTGCTAACCATGATTGCCTTGACTTTTGCCTGAGAAAACTTTCCTCATCCTTCTGCAGTTGAAGAAGCTGTACCTTACACTCCTGCTCTCTTGTAAAAGAGGCTTAAGTAGGACGCTCCAAGACTTCAACTTGTGCTGCAGCTAGAGAATCCTTGGCTAGAAGCACCCTCTCATGTATATCAGAGTAGTGGACTCTGTTTAGCCTGTTTAATCTGATCTTCACTTGCTTCAGTTTTTGATACAGTCTAAACATTGCACAGCCCTAGCTGGAGCATCCCGCCCTTCTTTTACTAACCTTTAATACTCCAGGTGATTCCTCCAGAAGCTAAAATACTTGAACGGCCTCGTTAGAGTTTTTGTCTGTGTGTCTGTATGGATGAGGATACCACAGTGATCAGAAAGCTCTGGCGGAAGGATCTTTACTGCACTCCTGGGAAACTTGCTCAACCAATCAGTATTCATCATTGCCCTATCTAACCTTTTTGCCAAAGGGTTTGCTACCTGCTTATTTGACCAAGTGAACCAAGGACCATCCATCCTGTGATCTTCCAACTGCATGTCAATTATCCATTTCCCAAAGTCAAGAGCACTGTCCCTAAATCAACCTCTCTCGAGGATTCCTGACTACTTACTATGGCATTAAAATCACCCACTACCATCCATGGTTTGTCCTTGTCAACCACGCATCTCAGCTTGTTGTACATGTCTAAACGTTCTTTTACTTCGTTAGAGCTGTATACTAGAGTAACCTGCATTCCCTCTACCCCTTTTTCCTCACCATGGACAAAATTTTCACCACTATCCAGAACAAAGAACTCTAAGTCAGCCCTCCACAAGATCCACATTCTACCTACATGTGTTGCACAATAAATGTCTTTAATTTGCCAGTCAAGGAACCACTTCTTTTTTATATCTTGCATTTTCTCTTTTTTTTACCCTTGTTTCAAGAATTGCCACTAAGTCTACCTTATACTTCTTAACCATCTCTACCAACTCTTCCTGCTTATCAGGACTATTGAAGCCCCTCACATTCCAGGACAAGACTATCATTTACTGTCCCAACCTTCTTCTTACCACCCTTCTGCTGTATCATACATCCTTACTATTCTTCAATGGAGATACCACTAGAGAGCCAACCTCAAACTGATCCAGGGAAGATAAGGCCTCAAAAGAGTTTGATGACGAAGCAACCAAGGTTGATCAGCAACTGCAGCCTGAAAATCAGACTCAGACGAAAGAATCACATTAGAGGATTGCCACTTATCAGCTCCAGCATTTAAACTTGTGACAAGATTATCCACTGCTAACTGAAGACCCCTGCCCTCTTCTATCACCTATTCGAAATCGCGGAGGAGAACATGCTGGTCTATATTGAGCCTGAAATCGTGGATGGAGGGCTTTGTATACTGGCAGAGTTTGAAGATGAGGGAATCGCTCGGTAGCAACATTGTCTGGTAGGTCAATTTCTTTCATCTTCTCCGCACATCAAGCAAGTCCAATCTTGGGCGAATTGATTGTGGGGGAAGAAAGGTTCGATTAGGGTTTCCTGACTGGGGCACCGTCTGCTGCTTTTCCAATTTCCAACTGAGCAGGTCGCACATTGGGTATTCACGAGTGGCCCATGGTATCTTCATAATGATATGTGCTATCTGCGAAAATGGGAGCCAGGGATTAGGGCAGAGAGTCCCAAGTCAACGATACCGTTGTGGGTTAAGTTCATTGACTTACCGCTGGAGAATGTCACTGGTAGAATTCTTACTCGTCTGGCTAGTATGATAGGAAAACCCTTGTGGTTTGACAAATCAACTCGGCTAGGTCAGAGGTTGGGCTATCCCAAGGTCTGTGTTGAGGTTGGCTTGGACACTGAGTTCCCAGAGTCATTAAAGCTTGTCCCAGATCAAAGGCCTGCTTTTTATGTCCAGTTGGAATATTGTAACTTGCTGGTGGCTTGTAAGAAATGCCATCAGTTGGGGCATGACTCCCTGGAAGGGGTTAATGCTGAACAAATGGTGAACTCTAGCCAGCAGGAGAAGGAACAGACTATTGAGGTATCAGATTCAGAGGGTGTTTCAGGGGCTGAGAGTGTTCCAGAGATATTGGTGACTAATCTACCAGGTAATGAACTCTAAATATTTGGTATGTTGATCAGGCACATGTTTCAAGTAATTGCATAAAAATAATAATTCTTTCTATTATTGTTGTAATTATGGTAGGTATATCATATATGAATATCATTTTGCATGATCATTGCAGTTATCGATAATATACTAGGGTTAATAAATATGCAGGTATGTGAATCCTTTCATATGTGGCTTTTAGTTAGGGATGACAATAATTGGGTAAACCCATTACCCGCCGGAATCCAATATAAAGATTTGGTGTGTTACACTTGCCCCTCCTAACCCAGTTTGTATGCTTGGGAGTGGTGTTATAGTAATATCATATCAAACTATTTCAGATTGAGATTGATTTGGTCGATATTTAGCATTTGAGGTACCAATAAACTTATTTCTCCTAGTCATAGTAAAGTCCATACACTGATTAATGACTAATGACATGTAAAACTTGCAACTAAGTATAACATTTAATTAGTCACGAATCTACGGCAGAAAAATGTGGGAGAAGAAAAAAAACCTTTAAAAAAAGTCCTAGTGAAAGAGGGGAAAAACTCATACGTGAGAAGGGGAAAAAACTCAATTAAGGTAAGTTCTAACGAAAGGGGAAAATTTGCCTAATCAACAGCTAGAAAAATGTGGGTTAAAAAGTAAAAAAAAAAAAACTTATACTTGAGAAGAAAAAAAAACTCATTTAAAGTAAGTCCTAGCAAAAGGGGGAAACTTGCCTAATCGACAGTTATAAAAATGTGTATTATGGAAAAAAATAATTTTCAAGATAAGTGTTAGGTGGTCCTACGGTACACCCTCCCACATCCCACTAGACCATTTAAGAATACTTGCATTTTATATATACTAATAATAATTATTAGTGTAGTTAGTATATTTACTAGGGGTGGGCAATGGGCGGGTTGGGTGGGTTTTGGTCTCAAATTGACCCACCCACTTACTAGCGGGTTGAAATAATTGTGACCTGTAATCCACCCACATACTTCTGCAGGTTGGATGGGTGGCGGATGGGTGCGGTTGGGTCGCGGGTCAACCCGCAAAAGCAATTCTTCAACTAGTCATTAAGAAAGTTGACTAACATTTATAATAAGTTCAAAGCAAAATTAATAAGACTGTATTATTAATTTGTGATTTTGATACAGTTAATAATTTATAGTTTGCATCCCAATATTTAATGGTTATTAACAATAATCTGCATACCAATATCCAATATCTAATGAATATTGCACAACATAATGACCAATAATAGTAGTCAAAACTATTATTTATTCTTCACCTTTTGAAGTATATGGTTAGACTGTAGTGCAGTTCGAAAATATGATGAATATTCGATACTATAAGGAACAATATTTTTTCATGTAAAAATAGGATGCAGGTCATATGGGTGACCCGCCATCCACCCACATAAGTGCGGGTGGAAGATTTACCAATCCGCAATCCACCCACATCAATTACCCACTGCGTGCAGGTCAGGTTATTTGCGGGTGGATCGATATCAATTCTGGGATTAACCACCCACGTGCCCACCCCTAATATTTACAAACTAATGTAAGCTTGCCAGTTGTCATGGTAAACAGTAAAATTGGAAGTGTTGATTGTATTTGCTTTTGGCTTAAGTATAAACAGCAGAAACCCCAACTATTTGCAGCTGAGGAAACTGCGCAATTTCTTCCTTCCTTTCCAAGTTTGTTTACAATTATGGCTGCATTGTCGATCTTCCTGGATTGGATGCGTGAGAGATGCTTACGAGTGAAGAGGATGCCAGTGAAGGTAGTGGTGATCCAGAATTTTTTTATAGGGGTGTTCTCTTCTTTAAAAAAAAATTAAATTAAATAATTTAGAAATAAGAAAATACATGCCTATTACAAATTTTAAGGCCACAACGTGTTTTCGTATTCTGAAAAATAATATAAAATATACTCAACGTCTTCACTGGTCAACAAATCTATATATTATACCAGACAATAATTCACGAACTGATCGTATATTCGAATTTTAACCTTGTTCTTTATGTAACTCAAAGTTGAAAGACATTTTTAACTCTTGCCGTGTAACAATAAAATCAATTCAAATTAAGGATAGCCCGTAATTAGTTTAGTTGTTAGGTTTTGAAAATAGTTGGGGATAAGGAAGGGACGAGATAGCATGCCTACCCCAAAAAGGATTGGAAATGACACCCCTATTAATTATAGGTTTTTAAGGTGATTAATTTGTGTTGCATTTAATAATTTATATGTATTAAAAATACATATTAATTACTTTCCTTTCTTCAGTGTATTGGTAGTTGTATCAGTGCAATGGTATTAGTGTACAAGTGCAATGGTAGATGTATCAGTGCAATAGTAGTTCCACCCCCTTAGAAGGGTTAGCATGCTAACCGATCCCAGATAAGGAATAATGTTTTGACTATTCCATAGTGTTTAAATAGAAAATTTTGAATAACATAGAAAATTTGTTTAATAATAGTTTGAATAACATAAACTACCATTTTAAGGGTGTCCCGGACTACCATTTGTGAAACTACCATTTCACAAACTACCATATATATTTTTTTAATTTTACACAAATTACTACCGAGACTAGGATAATCATTTTTTTTTTTTTTCATTTTAAGGGTGTCCCGGACTATCAAGTATAATTTTTTTTTCATACGAAACTACAACCGGGGGTTGGATAATCGTTATTCCAAATTTTAGGGGTGTACCTAAATGTCCATGTATCCGCCACTGGGTGAAGGCGTGAAGCCCGATCTAGTCTTGTCGAGGAGCTTACTGAGTTCATGTAAAATCCATGGAGATGTCGATTTGGGTCAGGAAGTGGGAAATATGCTACTCATCTTACGTCCGGAGATTATGCAGTCGAGTGATGATTATGTAGAGCGTCGTCTAATAAATATGCGTCAGCTGAGAAATGGAAAGAGGTGGAAACGGTGAGGAAAGTGATCAAGCTTAGTTCAAAGCATAAGCAATCCGATTCCTTTGGGACAATACTGATAATAAGATCATAGTGACCATTAATGATGTGATCTTTGTGTTTCCCATCCTTGAACCTTGATGTTAGAAGAACAGAAGTTAAAAGATGTGGACTGACTACTATGGCTCCAGTCGATTTCAACTAATTAATTGGCACTAGTTGCGTCCCTAATACTGTTTGCCGCAACTGGCAACTTCTCCGATTAACCTCCTACGGGTGAAATCAAAGTAAGCACAAATCATAATCATATGACATCAAAACTTGCGGTTTTATAAATTGACACACCCATTCTTTTGGGCTGTTCTATACAGGAGAGGAATAGAGAGAGGGAGAGAGTTCAGTTGGTAGCCAAAATTAGAGACTTAAATACACTTTATAAATTGCAGCAAGCTCAACTGAGTTCTTCGCAACCGCGGATCCTTTTCTGCAAATGCTCCAAGCTAGCAATCCGGCGCAGAGAAGCTGTTCGGCCAATCTTGTTGCCTGTTATTGCTCCTTTTGCTCGAGCTCCATCATCTAGGTGTCCATTTTCAACTGAAGAAACATCTGACATGCCATTGGCGGCAGGTTTCTTTTCATGGCGAGAAACATTTGGATGCTTTGGATGATCATCTTGAACAGGAACGGCTGCATCTGCTGAAGTGTCGGAAGCAGTTGATGGCATGCTGGCGGTAGACATCTCCTGCAGCGCCTGGAAAATCGGGTTTAAGCCCGTAATCCTTTTGACCGCCTCCTCAGCCATCTTCACCTGTATATACAAAACTCCAATCATGAGAAGAAAGAAACCAAGTCTGCAGAAGAACCACTCAGGCGATATTGTGAAATGAGTTTACCTTTGTTCTCAGTGTCTCAACATCTGCTTTTAGGACTCTGTTGTCTACAGCTGCTTCATTGTACTTCTGGCTTATGTCGTTGAGACGTTTTAACAGAGAGGAATTTTCAACTCTTAGTTGCGAAACCTGCGTGTACAACAATGTTGAATAACAGAACCAATTAAACGTTGTAAAGTTTGTTCATGAAAAGAACCCTATTCCCTGTCCATACCTGCGTCTCAAGTTCAGTCAAATGAGCCTGCTTTCTTCTTCTGGATCGTCTGGCAGACTCTCTATTAGACAGCATCCTGTAAAATGACAACAGATGTCAGTCATACAAGAAGGAAAAAACAGAAAATCAGTTGGCTAAAGTCACCTGCATATGATCATCGAAACACACAGGATAATTGTTGATACCTCCTAACACGTTTCACATCGCTAGGATTCGCATTGTCAACATTTGCAGTTTCCCCTTCGTTTTCATCGTCATCCGATTGATCCCTCGACGACCCACTGGTTGTCGACTTCAGAACAACTGCAGGCTTCTTCTGTGTGAAAGGTACTAAGGATGGGATTTCAACTGGTTCATCCGTGTCCTTGTCAAACGAGCCTAACAAATCCTGTCCACCTGCAGCATTTGTTTTGCTGCTCAAATTAGCATAAGCTCGAACCCCCTTCCACACACCACACGAAATGACTTATTACTACATGTCAATGATGCAAACCTTTGGAAAGAGCATGTGATCCCAGTTGTGAAGTGTTTGAAGCTTGTGATCCACTATCAGCTCTAACAGAGGAGTTTTGAGGTTTCAGATAAGATGCCTGCTTACACAATAACATGGAGCAATTACTTCAATTGATTACTGTAATAAAGAAAACATAAAACACACACATCAAAGATAGGGAGATGATGAGTCGACTCTTCGACTCATATCTCATATAAGTTGGTTCTTTCCATCACCTTGAGATTTTACTGCTACTTTTTTTCCCCAACCATTTTACAGTCAGTTTCACATACTCATACAGTCCCGTTTGCATCATAGCCTACCTTTACTATACTATAAAACAAGAAGAAATTTGCTACCCGCGATTAGAGTGTTGGTGTATACAATCATCAAGTAGTCAAATTGGATAAACTGGACCCTTTCCCATTGGCCCACTAATAATTGAGTATCGGATGAGATTTGGAAAAAAAACTCATAATGGACTTGCTACTTCTCT